TAGTAAAAATTTAGCGAAACTAAAGGTTTTACCATTTTGCCAAATCCAAAATGAGTTTAGACAAGCAACCTTAGTTGCGTCCAATTTCTTAGAAAATAATATAGCCAAACATATAATTAGTTCTGCTTCAAAAAATAGATAAGAAAATTGATGAATATCTTCATAACGGATCAAACTGGCAATTAATCTGAATTGATAATATATTTATTGAGACATATACATTCTGTCAAGCCACAAAAGGTTCTTTCATTCCTACTTCTAAAAAGCTTGCCAATACTAAGTGCATAATTAATCCAGACAATTCTAATATTATAGATTCGATTACAGGTAAGCCTACAAACAATTATATCAAAGGTGCAACAGGATGTTATTTTGCAGATAGGGATGGAATTACAGATTACTTAGGAAGACGAATTTATAGGGTAAAAAGTCTTTAAAAGTATTTTGATGTGATTAAGCTAGATGAGATTCCAATGCTTACTCCTATTTGTTTACATATATTCAAAAAGATTGAGGAGATGAATCCAGATATCTCAATCAATGTTTGGGAATGAAAGGAAGAAACAGCTACGTTCAAATCAGTAATTTATAGTAAAAATTATGACAGATCTCATATTATCAATCTTATGGCTCTTTTAGATATTACCAAATCTAAGGATAATAAGTATAGGGAAAATAATCACTTTCTCTAGATTAAAAATCATGATGGATTAATATTCAAGAATATAAAGCATCATGGAAAAGATTTCTTCGCAATCGATGTACCATAAGTTTTCCATCAATCAAATCTCGAAACTATCATCAGGAATAGTGTTTCAGATTAGGTAAAGATTGTCAAAGAGTCACAATACTTGTAAAAGGAGTCAATAACTTTGAACAGTTCAAGAACTATAACTGAATGATCAATGCTCTATGTGTCATCATAACTGACTTCGAAGCTGATAATAAGAAATGGGATACTTTAGGAGGAATAATAAAACCATTTCTAGCATATGGTGAAAGCATGTGCAAGCTTGCAGAGCAGAAGGCAAACAGTTTCAGCTATTTAGTCCACTGGATCGACACTGGAGATGTATGGGATCCTTTTCTATACAGGAAAAAAAATGCTACACAAGAATTCATCCAGAAAATTGATCAAGAACTGGTTAGTATTAATGAAGTCTTAGCTATTAAAGCTGATCAAATTGAGACTGCTGAAGATAAGAAAAAATTTGCTAAGGCAGTTAGTTGTTGGATCTGAAAAATCAAGTTTGATATAAATATAGAGGAAATTGAGTGACTAGAAAAGAAAATAATCAGTCTTAAAAAGAAACTAGAAGCATTCAAAAAAGGATCTGCAGAAAATAATGAAATCCTAATAAATATTGATAAAGTGACCAAGGCAATTGCTAGTAAAAAGCTAAAGCTAATAAGGTTTGGGACCACTGTCATATCACAGGTAAGTTCTGAGGGTCAGCTCATAATACCTGTTTATAATCTCAAACTCCAGATTGGGTCATGAAAAACCCCTATCTCAGTAATCTTCCATAACTTCTGAGGCTATAACTCTCACTTGGTCTGTGAATCTGTCAGATAATTTATCAATGCGCATTAGATCAAAATCATAGCTAAAACTTTTGAGCGATATAAATCAATGAAGGTAGGTCAGCTTAAATACAGTATATAGATAGCATGCAGTTTATGAATACTAGCCTGGCCAATCTTACAAAAACTTGGGTGATAACCATTCAATAACAAGCCAATACTTTAAGAATCAAGGCTATTCAAATGGAAAAATTTCTCTAGTATTTCATAAGGGGGTTTATCCCTATGAGTATATCAATTCTCATAATAGGTTTAAGGAAACAGAGCTTCCTCTAATTCATGAATTTCATTGGATTCTAAGTGGTAAGATCTCACAAGATGATTACCACCATGCCTAAAAAGTATGGAACACTTTTGGATGTAAAAACTTAGGTGAATAATATGATCTCTATCTTATGATTGATGTACTCAGCCTTGCTGATGTCTGAACACAGTTTCGAAAAATGTCTATAGAATATGATGGGCTTGATCCTAGTAATTATGTCTCTCTTCTATCATATTCCTGGGACGCTATACTTAAAATGACTGAAGTAAATATTGAGCTTTTCACAGAAATTGATAAGCATGATTTTATAGAAAAAGCCAAACATGAAGGAATATCTATGGCCTGTCAAAGATACTTCCAAGCCAATAATCCTAAAATAAAAAAAAGCCTTTGACCCATCTCAATTAACAACCTGGATTTCATATATTGATGCGACTAATATTTATGATTGGATAATGAGTCAGTACTTACCTATTGGAAATTATCAAATATTTGGTTACAGAATACTTCTCTATAATGGAAAGTAAATAAGAGCAATTAACTAATAGCACATATAGCGAGTATGAGAAAGGTATGGTAAAAGAGCTAATAAAGTTATCAGAATTCGATCATCATACAAGAACGTCTCCAGCAATTGATAAAAAATCCAGTATTGTTATTGGAGAAATTATAGCATTAATGATAAAAGTGGATAAACTTAATTTTCAGTTCAAAAGGCTTGAAAGAACTGTAAACTGGATACAAAAATTATGTAAAAGAGCAAACTGGTTTAGAGCTTGACAAAGAGCTAACAAATTCATATGAGTCTGATTCAGATTAAGAATCAAAGGTGGCTAATGGTATCCATAAGCAATATGTGTGTAATTTGATCACATAATACTGCATTACACACGTGAAATTGTGACCTCAGGTCATATTTTATGATCAGACGAATTTCGCATAATTTTAGTCAGCACTATGACATAATTTTGGCCTAATATTTGAGATATAATAACTTTGCATCCAATGATTGGATTTATGCAATCTTAACCTTGATTGAAAGCCCTTATATTGCTCTATATGCATAAACATTTTCAGATAAATAGAATATTTACCTGTAGAAATATCCATCTCAAAGTCTGATATTTTTTCCCTTTCTTATACCTTTGGTATTGTGGAAGATGGCTGTATAGATGACATTATGGAACCAACTAGCTTTTATGAAAAGGATGCTCAAAATTTGTGAAATAGATGGCGTGATGATACTAAAGATGATCCTAATATCAGAAAAAAATATACTTTCAGATCATGTGTTCATAGTTTGATTCTAGAATAGTCTATTTTGATCTTAGACCTGGCATGACTTGACATAAACCCATTATCAATACTTTTTTAACCAGTTATAACCCTTCATTGACCCATCTATCAACCTGTTACTACTCTTTATTTACCTGTTATTACTCTTCATTGACCCTTCAATTCAGCAACTAGTTATTTTATAACACTTAAAAATATAAGGATACTGGAATCCATTTTCGCAGTATTGATATGTCTGATCATCTAGTTTTTTTTATGGGTTCTGATTCCTTCTTTTCTACAGTAAAGACATTTCGCTAGGATTTCTGAACTGATAGGGAATAGTAATAGTCTTTCCATTACATGTGACTTTAAATTCTCCTTTTATTAAAGGTTTCTATCTAACTCAATATTACCATTGAGTACTAAGAATTACTAAAGATTTAGCATTTCCATTCTGATCCTTTTCTGTATGTACAACAGAAAATTCATCTGTAATAGTGGCTGTAGTTTCTCCAGAACTAATTGTTATAGGAATATTATCTATAGTGCCAATAGATATAGATTGACTTGCAACCCTATTAAGTCTATGAATTTTTTCTTATTAATTTTAATACCTAAAAGCTTTTCGATAAGTTCAGTAATATTATTCGAAATATAGAAGAATCAGAGCCTGTATCAATCATTACACAAGGTATTACCAAACCTCCTATTTTGCAATAAATAGTTGCAACATCATCAGCATCTTTTATTTGTAAAAAATTTATCTCTAAGGGCTTAGGCCAATATATTTGACTATTTTTTTTCCAGTTGAATGACATTGTGCATATGCTTTAATAGTATAGTTTAGAGTATTAGAACCTATTGGTATTATATCATTCATGGGATTATCTAACTTAGTCCCTCTTGGATTCTCTAGCTTCTCTTCTATCGGGACTTGAATAAGAGGTTTTTGCTCTATATTTATGGCTTAGATTAGCGGATGTAAAATATCTATAATTTTATTTATAACATGCCTCCATACTTTTTTTCTTTTCATGATAGTATCATCTTTCATAGCCGTATTCAGAATCTGATCTTTCAATTTAGGGTATATTGTATTAATATATTGAAAGCCTTCTTTAAGAATTTCTTTAGGAATATGTTATACAACTGATGATAATATAGATTTTAAGGCTACTAGAAAAATATAATCTATAATCATGGTTATAAATGCTGAGGTTTCTGCTTTTTTTACGAGACTTGAAAGTAGGGGATTCCTTTTTGTGAGTATTTTTCATAGGTACTGCATTTCGTATCACTTTTTTTTATAGCATAGCAGTTTGTTCAAAGGTATTTAGGGTAGATTCATCATTATCAACATATTCGACATCTTCTTCTACTTCCTCTTCTTTGGAATCCTCTTTCTCTTTCAATATGTATTCTTTTATAAATTCTTCTTTAGGATCTTCAGACTCTTCTACCTCATCATGGTAGTCCGCTTAACTCTAGAACAATTAACCTTTGTATGGCCAGCCTTTTCACAGATAGAACAATGACAGACAAGCTTACTTGATGCTTTGTTTAGCACTACTTTTCTAATAACATTCTTTGTAATATAGGCACTTTTAGAAGTAAAGAGACTCTTTCTTATATGAGCCGTCATACCTCCAAATCTCTTTTTAAGATCATCATAGATAAATTGTTCTAAAGTTACATCATCTGTTACTATTCCTGTATATTGCAAATCTCTTGCAAGTCAAATTTTAAAATCATATTTTAGTAGAATAGGAGTAGGTAGTACTGATTGGAGTTCTGGTTAATGTAGTATAGGTATTTGACCTGTACTTACACTTGGATTACGTTCTAACCACAAATCTTTTAATTATATAAAGAATACATCTATACCTACAGGATTGACTATTCTCATCCATATAAAAAGATCACCTGATAAGTGACTTTTAAGAAATCCTAAAACTCGTGTATCATTATCTGCAATACCTAATAATAAAGGTCAAACTCTTTTTTCATATGTATCAGGTGAATCGTTAACTAAAAATCTTTCTTAAGTTAATCTCTAAAAGGCTATTTGCTGACTACCTATTATTTCACGCTGATATTTTACTCTTATATATGCCTGTAAAGTAGCTGGAGAATTAATAGAATTAGCAGTATAGGGATCATTTACTAGAACTGATATATACTTTCTCACAACTTGAATTTTAAAAGATCCAATTTAATTGCATAATCAAAGTCTCTCGCATTAGCATTTTCAAGTGCTGTCATATTTGGCTCTAAATGTGATATAGAATTTCAAATTTTATCTAAGTACTCATCAGGAGATTCCTGCCTAGTATATTATTCATGTTTAGCAAAAATAGTTGCTATTGTATTATATATCGGTTGATGTCTAGCTTCTGCTATATTTGGTGGATTAATAAGTAGATTATTTTGTAGATTTAAAATAATTTGTCAGGAATTTATTTCTCGAGCTTTCCATTTTTAATATCGATTAAATACCCAGGCTCTATTGAATTCTGCTAAATCAGCTTCAGCTTTGCATTTTTAATTTATTAGTCGAAGAGCCACCTTTTCTTGTAATAATATATAGTTATGCCTTTCTACTCTCTGAATCCTAAGCCAATATACCTGACGCTCATTTGCTTTATTATTTAGAGCTTGTGTTAGTATTTAATTATCATTTTGTTACCTAGCTCAGACTTCTTACAATTGTTACCCTAGAGTTCTGGTTCATCAAACACTTTGTTCTACTACCATATTCCGATCTTGCTAAAACTGATGAATTGTACCAGTATAAGTAATAATATTAGCCAAACATATGCCAACTCTATCAAATTGCCTTCTTATATCATCTGGAAATATAACACTTGTATTATCCAAATGTATCTGAATTCTTGCTAAAGAAGCTGAAACCTCAAATCACCTATCTAAATAGCTTGTATTGTATGCCTCATATCTAATATTTCTTTATTATTTGAAACTTTTTTATGACTCAGACCAGTTATTTTATAAATATAGGTCATAAGTTGCTCAATCTAATCTTCTAACCTCAAAATATGGATATCTTGTGTAATACTAGCATTACCTTTATACCTTAAATCCTGTAATGCTTTGTGAAGACGCTGTTTAAAAGATTTTATCTTAGACTTAAGAGATGCTATCTCACCTTTGTTAACTAATATTGCTGAATCCTGGTGAGATATTATTCTATATCAGGTTTCTAGCTCTCTGCTAAATGCTTTGAGTTTTTTATCCTTAAGTTTATTTTCGGTTATTTTATTTATCAATTCTTTATGTAATTCTGTATTAGTATCTAGAATTTTGATATAAGCTAGATCTATGTCATTGGTTCCTATTATACAAATAGATTCGAGTAAAGCTAGAAATTTAGATATATTTATTGATATGCAAAAGATTTATTACCAGCCTTCAGGCTATTAGAGGACTGCGAAAAAATTGCATAAAGCTTCTCTAAAAGCTGGTTTCAATTTTACCTTAAATGAAATGCGTGATTGGCTTGAGAGACAAGCTGTGTATCAGGTTCATAAACCTTATCCTAGAAATATTCCAAGTGCATTTTTCATTAATGTTACTATACCTATAGAAGTTATTCAAGCTGATTTATGCTATATGCCTTATGATCAAATTGGAAATAAAATTTATAAATTTGTACTTAATTGTGTAAATATTGCTACTTATACAAAATAGACCTATCCCTTAACTAACCGTGATTCTACTAGTATTGCTATAGGCTTTGAAAAACTTTTAACTCTCATAATGTCCGCTTACTTGGCCTAAAAAAGATCTTATGGTAGATGGAGGTGTTGAATTTCATGGTGATGTTATTAGATTAATAAATAAATATAGTATTAATATTCTAATATCTAATTCTAAAGAAAGTATAGGTATTGTTGAAAGGTTTAATAAGATATTACAAGAATGGTCATCTATTATTCAAGATGCTATTGATATGAGATTACCTATATCAGAACATTGTTGAGCTTGGGTTAGAAACCTTCCAATTTTTCTTGAGAATCTTGATAATTCTGTGATTCGTCTTCTAGGTATTTCTCCTGTTAATGCACGAAAACTGAAGTATGTTTATGCAAAACCTTCTAAACCTCGAAATGGGCCTATGGGGTTTGATGAGAAGTAAGATATTTACTTAAATCAGGTGAGTTAGAACTCAAGTCTATCATATTCGTGAATCTTTAGTGCAAAATAATCAGCTGGTATTATACTTGCTGGAAGATGATAAAGGCAATATCCTGAAAAGATCTTTTGTAAGTGAAAGATTATGGTTATTAAAGAAGCACAGTTACCACCTCGATGGGTGCTTACATGATAAGGAAATCCTCAAGTGTTTTATCAGCTTGTTCTTCTTCTGTAATAAAATAATCCTTAGCTAACTTATAGTATATAACCCATATAGTTCTATAACAGCATTAAGAATTTTTATAGTCTTCTCGCATTTTCTAAGATACATGATTTGGTATCTTCTGTCTGACGTAATTCTAGAACACGCTTTTTATAATTTTGCATAAACTTACCATCTTTTGGTCTTCCACAGAGAATTCCTGCTTTAAGTACTTTGATTAAAGCCTTTTCAACTTCCTGGGAAGTGGGCCGATCAATAACATTATTTGAACTATCTTGATTACTCATTATGTAGGAAGGTATATCTGCCATTCACTTTTCAATATTACAGATAATTTTGTTTAATTAAATTTTTCATAACTCTGGGCAAATCTACTGCTATAGCTTGTGGGCAGTGTGCTGAATATATTAGAGGATACTATGTGATGCAATATTATAATAAATTAAGGTGAGACTTAGCATATGGTATGCTTTTAGGCTTGCATGATCAGTTCCAGCTTAAATCGCTTCATTTTGTTACTTGATTTTTGATGACCCTTCTGGAGGCAAGCAGAATAGCATAAAAGTTATTATTTATATTGGGTTTGCAATGTCAGACTCAGCTCAAATCACGTCACTTCATTCCTTTATTTTCAATGACCCCTCCTAAGGCAAATAGAATAGTAAAAATTTTTTGATATATTATTTGAGATTAAAATGGCTTTAATGAACAGTGTAATTCTTGGTATCAGATAGGCTAATTCCTAGCCAATTTTGATATCATCATCTATATTTGAGTCAAAATGGGCTAGAGGCTTGAATTTGATAATTGATTCATATAGCTAAAATTGATTCGTGGGCATCAGGAAACTTACTGAGCACTATTTGGAAATTTGTCCCAGAAACCCTATTTTTGCCATAGTAACATACCAGGCTTCAAGAAATTTCTAAGATAGGCAAGTTTACTTTCATTTGTATCAAAACAATTAAGATCTGACAACACATCATCTTGCTGATTATTAGGCTTAGTGAAATAGGAAAGTAATTTTAATGTTTACAGTAGAACCAGAAGAATCTAACATACTGTAACAATTATTTATACTTGTATTACAAAGAAAGTAGCATGAATGGATGAACTAGGAAAAGATTTTGGGGATTTATCGGGTATATAGATCATGGACTACCTCTGGGACTCCCTGTCAAAATTTTTTTTACTCTATATAAACTAGACATATATGGTTATACAAGATTTAATTTCTGAATCATATAAGTATTATAAATTATTGAATTTTTTTTTTAAAGTGTGGTAGCTTCACATAATCTTTATTAAATGTAAGCAAAACAAGAAAAGAAAATACAAAAACTTCTAAATATCCTAAAATACTAGACTAATAACCCAATCAAAAGAAAAGGAAACACAACCATTCAGAGAATAAAGCTTGGTTGCTACCTGTCCAAAAATTTGACCAGTTGGTGAGTGTAGAAAACCACTAGAATTCCAATTGCTTTTTTTTGTTTTGTGAAGTAATGGCTAATTTTTCTACTTAAATAAATAATTCACATCTTTCTTTCCAAATTTTGGATGTGAGTGAATATATGATGAAAAATATGAGCTAATATAGGGATTATGCCTTTTATAAGATCAATAAAACAAAAATTATTTGTATCATGATTGATGTTCTAAAAGGAGGCTGTTATCAAATTGCGAATAGTCATTTGTGTGTATCTTTTTAACTACTATTTAGAAGATATAATTGTTGAGAAAGTTTATTTTTGTCGATTCTATAAGACGAAAGATAAATGTGAACAAGTTCAAATGTGATTAAAGTCTTCAAATGTGTTTTGACATCTACAACAAGTCCAATTTTGTTGATATAAATTGAGATGCCTTTTCTTTAAAACTTCTAATTAGTACAAGGACCTTGAATTTGTTTCGTCAAAATTTAGAAGGCAGATCAATACAGTCAATTTAATATAATTAATTTTTTAATTAAGTTTTTAATTATTAATTCTAATTATGTATATTAACAATCTGTCGTCATTTTTATTTATATTATAAAAATGTTGCTAGATTCAAGTGATTAGTTGATTCAATTCAATATAATAGTCTAGTAGGTGTAATAGTTCCCATTTCCACTAAAAATAGTCTGATAGCAGATTTCATACTGCTCACTTGCTTATTTCACAATCTAACAAAGTACCATAACTTTCTGTTTTAAAAATTCTTGAGTCTTTTGATTGTTTCCCTTAGGGTTCATTGCTCTAAATAAAGTATCGAAAAATCCATGAAGTTTTGAATCATGACTTTCAGTCATTCACATTATTTACATTATTTGATTATTAGAGTAGTCTAAAAACTTTATATAATTATTAAAATGAGTTAGAAATGATTAATATAAACAAAAAAAAAATTAAATAAATTACATACTGGAATTATACATAAAGCCATTTACTTTTTTCTTTAACTCCAATATTTCTTGCTCAAGTTTTCAGTATTTGTAATATTATTTCATAATTTTTCATAGGTTTTTTGTGATAAATATACACAGTTTTGATCTCCTTCGGCATTATAAGCAAAATCATTATTTTTTCTTTTGTTATTTAACTTAGCATTTTTAATTTCATTTCTATCATAAACTACTAGTTCATTGTAGTGCTTGCTTTTTACATAATTCATCGCCAATCTTAAGTTTAATAGGTAACAAGGTATTAGAATGCTTATTTGCTTTCTTAAGAGACCAAACTTTTAGCTGTCTAAAAGTTTTTTTATTGTGTGAAATTTTAAGCTAGACTATTATGTATTGTCATGTAACTTTATTAAGTGATACTATTTTTGATTTTACAATAGCATGTATAATATATTTGCCGATCATTTGAACTTAAAATTGGATCAAAGCTTCCATTATTATCTGAACATATAAATCGAACATGATAAATTTTTAATGGTAAACACAGCCAAACCTTCATTAATACCTTTAGATATTACATGCCAGGTAGGAGAACTAATACACTGATAATTCATGTCTGGTAAATTAGTACTATTCAATTCTTCTTTAAGCAAATTTGCAAAAGTTCCATTATCATTTATACTGCTCGCTACCTCTTTAACAATATTGTGATTTTATTAACAAAAACAGCTTTATTATAAAAGGACTTATCAAAAAAATGCAGATACAAAGTTTTTTGTTTCTATTCTAGGTTATTTACTAATAATATGTGAGCTTGATCATTTATTTCTTTTCTAGTGTTCTTAACACTGAGTCATACATTTTTCTATATTAAAAATAAAGTTTAAGAAGAATATTAAAATTTTCTAACTTTTTTGAAAATAGATCAACTTTTTACAATTTACAATTACTAAATTAAATAAGGAGAAATTTTTATATAAGATAGCTAAATCAATCAAATGGATCATAAGTTGTCGATATCAAAAGTTGGAATAATTTCATCTTTATTTTTTCTTTATATAAAAGTATTTCTGAAAGTGGTGAGTTGTTTGAACTACTTTGAACTGGTTGAACGTTTTCTGTCTGTGTTAAATTTGGTTTATTATTTAGTTTGTTTGTTTTGTTTGTTTGAGAGAGATGACAGAGTTTTTTTAACTTAGGCTGTACAATTTAAAAATATCATTCTCACACCCTTTGGAAGCTATTTTTAACAAAAAAATCTCTTTTGTTGTCAACCTTCTTTTCAACGCCTATGATTTGTTAGTGGTGTCATAGTATCAAAACACCCAACTGACCAATCAAAACATATTGCAAATATTTCATTTTGAAACAAAGAAAAGAATAGCATGACTATGAAATTACCTAATATAAAAGAATACATATTTTTACCGCTTGATATCATGCCACTGTCTCCATTTATTCCAGCACATTATAAAGGTTACCAAAATCCCATTGGATGTACTATATACAGAGTTAAACAGTCTTCATTTACTATGACAACTAAAAATTTATGGCAACAACAAGCAACAATTACTTCTGACTTTTCAGTACTAAAAATAGGATATGATATCTTCATTTTTAATGATATGTTAGATATTGCATTTGCGACTTACCAAGATTTACTTCTGGGAAACAACTTGTAGAAATTGTAAGAATGATTAAGGTGGGGTCACTATCAAAACCTTTAAAATGCATTCTTTTAATTCTACTGATGATATCGAAGATACTCTCAACAATGTAATCTGATAATCAAAACTGATGCCAAGCTTTGTGCTATTTGCAATGTTCAACAATTGTATCAAACATTTTCACTAGCTCAATATAATAATTACAAAGCTCCTAGAAATTAAAAGTCAGTCATTCCAAATATATTTGCTCACATGATGAAAGGCTCAGATTTCTAATGATCAGCATCAGAAAAATACTTGTAATTCATTAGATAAGAGACCACTACTACAAGAAGGTTTCATTCAAACAATCATTGAGTTCTTATTAGATGACATTTCTGAAACACTAATGATGATTTTAAAAATAATCTGTATTCTATTATGAAAACATTGAACTTTACAGTTTAACATATTAAATCCATGGAAGAATCTCTCAACATTTAAGTTGTTACCCCTCTTGATGCTGCTTCCATCATCAATACAACAAAGGAAAACTAAAAGGCGTCAACCAAATGCATCAAAACAGATTGAAATCTTTTACCATAACTGTTGAAATCATGCATTATATTTCAAACCATTCTTATGTAAATAACATGCTTCTTAAAGAACTTGGACAGTTATCTCAAGAACCTCAATTATTTTTAATGATTATTGTCTCTACAGATTAATCTGGATCTCTTTAAATATAATTCACGATTTATCAAACTGAGATAGCTTATAATATTGCAATCCTCCAAAAGAAAAAACTCACAGATAAACAGTTTGTCGCCATTTTCTACAATGTGGTTATTATGCCTTGGCTATTATATCAGTTCTCACATCCTCATTCTGTGATTCAATTATTTGTACTCAAAGTCATTTGCCTTACACAAATTGATTAATGACAATAGTCTTGCGAGACAGTTTGCTTTTATATGCACCAACTTTTAGAATGGTTACCTGTTTGCCCTTTTAACAATTGGCCCTTCAAAACCTTGTCAGTAAGATCAGACTGGCAAGAAATATCATGTTTATAGTTCAATTGGTCTCTAGCTGTGAAAGATTCCTATATTGTTTCAAACTCTAGAGAGTCATTTGGTTGCTGACTCACAGACCAGGAAGTTTGCGATTATTCCTTAACAAACCATGGAATATAACAACTCCAACCCTATAAAGCTATTCATTTCAATTTGGTTCAAAATTTCCTCTTGGAAAAAGTTGTTGAAATTCATTTATAATACAATATTTTAAAGAATATATCTTACACTAATCTTTTACCTTATAATAAATGCCAGCTTTATAACCAGAACATTAATCTTTCTTTTATCAGAAGCTTATCTTATAAATACTATTATTCAATTGTTCCTAAAGAATTTTGTAGTAAAATACTGGTTCACACAAAAAACGAACACAATTTATTATACTAGCCTCTCCTATTATGTTACAAGGTACAGCAATCTGCAAAATTCCAATTATATTAAATACTCCACAATTTTCCATTTCCAGAAATTTTTAGACTAACACAAATTATCCCTTACCTCATCTTCAATTTTACACAGATGGTAACTTAGGCCTTCTGTTCTACAGACTGACTCAAATTGGCCTATGATCTCTTTTCATGCAAGTCTTCTATCAACCTCACTATCTTCTACTCTAGTAAAGCTTGTTGCTGTATTCTCAAATTATTATTTTGACTTATGAAAAATCTTTCAAATTTTATCTCTTGCTTCATCTTTTAGTCCGCTCTTCAAAATACAATATTTCCCAATCTGGATGTTTTTAATGAGAATACATTCATTTGGGCAATTGCACTTTTGTTTTATCAATGGTATTTTGTAACTGGATTGGAACCAGAATTGTTATTTTCATCTGATGAAGAGCTACTAATTTGAGTATGCTTATTATCATATGAATTGGAATTTGGATGAGGACGAATAGGAGTGATAGGTAGGAGAAATAGTGTTGTTAGGAGGGGGATACTAATTGAGAATGTTCTAATTTAAGGATGCGAACTTCAAGATCAGACAGCTTTTTTTAACCCAAGAGCATGTCAAGAATTTGATCAAGTTTTTTGTTTGTGTAATTATTATTCTTGGGATTATGAATGGAGTGATCTAATGAATTCTGATTAGGGCTAATATTCTTATTGTTCCTTTGTGATTATCTGAACAGAGGGTAAGTATGAGCATTATCTTTTTGTTTTGGTGGGTACATCATCATTTGATGGTAAAAGTTGAGGATATTTAATTACAATATGGGGCCTTTACAATAGAAAGGGGGGAAACTGCCGGGAAAAATCAATTTTACTTTTATATGCCAAATATGATTTTTAGGCTGAAATATGTTCAAATTTAGCATTAACTCATTTTTGATTTTTCTGGTAGTTTCCCCCTTTCTATTGCAAAGACCCCATATGATCTGGTGAGACACATTTGTAGCAATATTTTGAGTTTTAGTAGCCAGAATAATATCTTAGGGAAGGGCCAGAAATTTTGACCCTTATCATCATCCATTTTAAGAAATTTATTATTAACTTATATAAAATTTGTGGAATATCATCATGAATTGAACCCCTCTTCCCCCTTTAAAATGACGTAATTTCTGGCCCTCCCCTTACAAGTCATGTGCAGAAGTACCGAAGGGAAGATTAGTCAACTTGATACAAATATTATTCCTCTGTTTGACTTGTAGATCTGCAGGATAAACTCTTTACACAATTATTATAAAGATAACGTGACCATTGAGTGTAAAATAATTGGGAATTTGTATTATTATATGTTACATAGGCATGTTACCAAAGTCTGTGAGTTTGTAATCTAATATTGCATATTTAGTAAAGATAGAGGTGAGGGTCTTTTTTCACATTTAGGTGAATGTCAAAAATATGCAGAATGCATTGTTGGAATTGCATGTTTTCTTGTTTTCTTTGTAAGTATGATAATCAATGAGTTGATTGATTCCCAAATCAGAAATTTCATACTTAAATAGATGATTAGCGATTTGACAAAATTTACGCATTGAATGTTAGCCCCTTAAACAGTGTGTGAGCAGATTTTTTGTTAATGTTGATACAAGTAAAAAGAGTTAGACGAGGAATGACAATGAAGTTGAGGTTATCAGAAGACATTTGATGTAGATGTATCTCTCTTTGATTGAAAAGTGTCTTTGATGATATCTTCAGCAGATAAAAAGTTATTTTCTGAAGCACCACCTGAAGTAGATGCAACTGGTTGTTTTGTTTGCCTTTAGGGCCAAAATGAAACTTTTTTTTGAAATGGAAGTTTTTCCAGTTTTTCAGTTTCCATTTTATGTGGTTGTAAAATTTATATTAAACTCTTTCAGAAATAAAAGTATTGTAAAAGTGAAAATAAACTATCAGAGTTGTAAATATTAAATTAACTAATACAAAACAATTTATTTTCTAAATAAAGTGAGATTTTTTCTTTTTTTTTACAAGTAAATCAAAAAAAACTATAATACTAAAGATTAACTATCCTCATAATTACTAGCATCAATAAGAGATGAAAAAAAAATATAATCAATACTACTTTGTTATCTCCTTTCTAAAGTAAATTTCTAACAACTAATGGTACATATTTTCCAAAGAAATAACTATGAAACCTAACCACTTATGCTAAAGAATTTACAAAAGGAAGCAATCTAAAATATAATTATTAAGTTTCTAGCTAAGTTGTCCAGTTAATTCCAGATTATAGTGACCACCTGGCACAGGTGTGACTATATCACCAAATTAAATAGAGGCTCTTCAGACTATTGCTTCCAATGCTAAGATGTCTGTCAATTCAGATTACTGCTAACCCTTATATAGGATAAGAAGGATAAGGCCCAAATCACAGTCAGTTAAGTCCAGAAAATATTGCGTGGGATTTTGCAGTTTTCGATATCAGAGATCAGCAAATAAGAAAGTATTACCATTTAGGAAGCAATGAGGAATATCATCATGTGAATTTATATATCCAAAGTAGGTTAATCCTTATCATCAGTTTGATGTCTACTTTTATAGGCAATTTTTGAGAAAATGAAAAAATGGAAAAAAATATACTAAAGGTGAAGAAAAAATATTTTGGATAGGGGTTGGGAAATAAAAAGAAGGTGGTGTTTTTATTTTATACAGATTAACCACATCCACTTTTGAAGTGACACTTTTTTAAAAGTAAAAATTCTTGGATAAAATCCAATGATAGGAGTACATATAATGACTACCATTATCATCAGTGTCTATCTAAAAATCCGAGAATGAGTTAGTAATCAACATGATCTTGAATGCATTTTAGATATTACTGATGAATTTTATGACCTAACTCATTCTGCTCTCAACAAGACTAATTCTATGCTTCTTACTACTAAATGATTTGTTGCATCTATTATTAATTTGAAATTTGGTTCATCACCCATTAATATTACTGCAGAACTTGGATCTGTTCGATTTCTCAGTGTGTGAATAAATAGCAAGCGTTCCCCTTCATTTGTTAAAAGTCAAATTAAACAAGAAATTCGTAGATTCATCAACTCCATGAACTTTATAGAGGTGTTATCATACTGTGATTTGGCGCAGTAATATCCTACCATTAAATGTACCTGGTATGTCATGGGTACTATGCAATTTTTAAATCGGATAAATTGTAAAAGGTCCAGGATACTTTAGCCTGACATGACTAAAAGTGAAAAAGAGATTCAGTAGCTAGATGTCCTGAAGAAAATGCTAACATTATTTTTTTAGAATCTATTCCTTTAGGCGAAAATATCCGTTTGATGGCTGGTGTATTATATGCTAAACAAAGAAAGGAAGATCAGAAACTTTTTTTGATCAGCTTTATGCCGGAACTAACCCATCTAACAAAAGTAATATGACAAATACTAAAAACAAACAGCACTTATTTTTATTTTGTTATTTTTTAGCAGGTTTAAATAATAAGTTTATTAATGGAATCAAGGCAGATATTGTATATATGCTAGATAGTGCAGGTGCATCAGCTTCAGCAATCGAAACATTTGCGGGAGCAGGCATCAGTATTAGACGTGAAACTGTAGCAAAGCACAAAAAGCAAAAATCTATTCATACTGAAACAGTAGAAGCATTTGTATCGGAACATGCAAGTATTATTTTTAAAAGATCTTTAATTGTATTAATTTTAATAAATAATTTTATTATTATAGATGAATAATCTGATGGTTCTCAATTTAGATGACTATCATAACATCCACTCAAAAAGACGTGCTGATAATACAACAACAGCTCCACCTTTTATAAATTTATTTACAGGTGAAAATGTTCATAACCCAAATGGCATTAATTCTAATATTATTATTGAAAGTGCAATGTTTATTTTTTCCTCATCTTTGGTTAACATATAATGAGTGTAAGTTGGCTTTTATCAAGAAATTACCAGAAATAACTAACCATGAAGAACATGTTGAAATGCTTTTAGTAGTTATGATAATAGAATAATCCAACGAAGAACGGATAGAAGCATGAGTAATACAAAGCTTATAAATTTAGGAAGATTATATCAAAACCTTAAAAAAAGTTTTAGAAGTTCCAGAGTTAAAGTTCATATTATTCCATTTATCAATCCTTTGCATATTTCTTTAAATTCTCATGAAACAGTTTTAATGTTAAATTATGATTTTTTTAACAAATTGTATTGTGAGATTTATATGAAAAAGAGACAGCTAGCAAAGAAGCATAAACCATATAGAATTGATTTATTACTTGAACTTGCCGCTACTGGATGGAATCTAATAAGAAATGACGTATTAAAAAAATTTCAGAATTGTAAAGATATTGAGGTGAGATATTTAATAGATCTTTTAGATAATATTGTTCCATTGGTTTTAGATTTATATCCTATAATATTTCGAAGCAGTCATTGGCCAGCATATATAGATGCTTGGGTTCTCCTTTTTAGATATGGCCGAAAGAATTATAATAAGCTACCATTAGCTTTTTTCAGCGATGTATTTTACTGGTTCAATACGCATCACCCTATGGCGCAAGTTATTGAATAAAATCTTTACTTGTTTAATGACTATTATATTGAAAACTTTCATTCTTCACTTCGTCTTCAAACTAACGCATCAAATTCACCAGAGCAAATAATTCATCAAGCTAAAATTATTGATCAAGATCGAGATAATAACACATTCAAAACTTTCTCTGAGCCTCATAATATAATATACACAGAATGTGAATTGGGACAGCTATATTTCTTTTGGAACTTTCTATTAAGGTGCATCATAATATTGGTAAGACGGTAATTGATATATCAAGTAAGTATAAACGTCCAAAGTATAAGCTTCCATCATTAAAAACAACAGTAGATGTAAGATTACTTCCCCTAGCATAGAATACAACCTTTCCTCCAAAGGCTGATAAGTATTGTGATCGAGAAGGATGTGAACTTTCCCTTAATATTGGTTGTAATTTAATGTGTGACCATTCATACCATTATGAATGCTTTTTATTAAATCTTTCAGGTCAATGTCATTATTGTAATAGCTACTGTACCTAATGGGAGGGATTATTGAAAATAGTAGGATATTTCAAAATAGCATAAGCTCCTTGGGGAAATTAGTTTTAGAAAATGATGATGTTGAAGATAATACAAATGAAGGGAATGATGATGATGAAAGAAATGTATTAAATACTACGGTAGATATCGATTTATGTAATATTTTGTCATCATTCAATATTTTATAATAAATTAGATTAACTCGATCATATAAGTTAGATTCAAGATTAAAATATTGGTTAAGATATAAAATTAAAATTTATTAATATATTGAATTTTACATTTAAATCTTTTAAACCATATACTATATCAATTACATCAAAACTTTAAATTTATTAAATGATACTAAATTAGAATAAATTTAAAATAATTACATTTGTACTCTCTAATTTTATTATTTGTATCTCATGGGTCAGCATTATGCATTATCCCATCGGTATTATGTATACACTGGTGGAATTTCTTATCACTTACTCCACTGGTTTATAACAAGTAATATGAATACGAAATTTTTATTAAAATAATTATAGAAATATATTTATTTATATAGCATTATTTCAATAATGAACATGAAAATGTACATCTTTAACTGTATTAGGAATATTAATTTTTGAAAATTCAGATTGTTCTTGAATATCCAGTTCGGATTTTCTCTTTTTTCGTTGAGAAAATTGTTTTGCATTAGATATATTTTTTAATTTTTCTCACCTTTTAGCTATTTAAAAATAAAGTTATAATCGAAATGTAAAAATATATAAATTGCATTAAAAAATAATTTACCATTATTATTTTTATTACTTGAATTAGTATTTATATTTGAATCTGAATTTTCGTTAGTGCTCTCTTCACTGGATTTTAATATGTCTCTACTTGGGCTTGAATACTCCTGTTCTTTATTTGATTCTAAAAATTAATAAAAATTATAAAATTGTATAATATATTATTAAAAAAAATAGTTAAAATTTATAAAACTTTACCTGAACTTTCTAAATCATTGCTATAATCATTATCATTAAAGTTAGTTCATGAATTTCCAGAAAAATATTCAAATTCTTTCACTTCAATATCTTCAATATCTAAAGGAATTAATCTAACAATATTCTAAATTTTTCTTGCTTCATCTAATCTTTTGTAAGTTTTTACTGCTTCTCATGATCTGTGACCAGAAAATTCCATAATTTCATCTTCTGGAATATCTTCATCTTTAAGCATTTGTATTGCTGTTCTATGACAACTATGGTTAACAATTTTTCGATCATCAGACAAATTAATACCTGTTAAATTTGCAATTTGATGTAACATTTTCCCTAATTTATTTTGACTCATTCTTTGTGTTTTATACCATATTCCTTCATTTAGATCTAAATAAATAAAAATTTATAATAATTAAATTAATAAATAAATAAAAGATATAATACAATAAATTAATTTACTTTTTTTGATCTTGTAGTTTCTAAAAAAAATGATAAACATGCATTTGAAGGTCTCATTGATTTATATTTTAGAATATCATATATAGGTCTGTAAATATTTCCTTCAAGATCAGGTGGAATAGGAATTTTTCGTGATGTAGATTTTCCATATTTGTTTCTATTTCTAACACCCCTTTGATTATTTTTTTCAATAAACATTTCTAAGTTTAATCCACAATCATTTTTTCGTGTTATTTGTCTATCTTCAATTTTGTAAGCATCACCACCTCGTAAACCACATAATAATGAAATCCAAAAAAATACTCTTCTAATTAAGGATTCATTATTATCGCCATTCATAAATGAATGATCCAATATTTGTTTTAGTTTCTGCTTAGTTAATGAATCAGCTTGTACAGTTTCTCCTAATCCTTGAATTTAAAGTTGTTTCATTTTACCATCTAATGTTTTAATTGCTAAAGGAAAAGTATATTGATCCCAAATTTTGCATGGTTTAATAATAGATTCTTCCTTTAAATATCTTGCTAATGATGCATAGCAATTATACACAGACTCTGCTTTATAGTTTTCGCCATTAAGTTTCTTAAGCCATGTAATAAATTTACATAGAAATTCTTCAAGTTCTTTACATGTATCATATTGATTAATATGTTTCGTTAAATTAGCTTCTTTATTAAATTTATCAACCATACGAAACCACTTTGATGTACATTTTTCAGTATTTTTTACTCTTGAAAGTTGTTGTAATTGATTTATTTCCTCACTTGTAGGTATAAAAGACATTATAATATTTCAATTGGTTTGGTTTTAAGAAAGAAAAATAAAAAAATATATATATATAATGTGAGAAAATTAAAAGTTAAAATAATTCCACTGGTATATACATCATATACAATGAGATAAGCCTGTTATTTCATATGAAGTTATGGATAACTGGGTTTATGCATAGGTTATATAAGAATCACATGCACTTACGCGCATGTGATTATATCTATATTCTGTAAATAACATCATATGGAATAACAAGAATTTATTTACGAAATAAAAAATGTTGCCAGAACTCGGTCTACAGTACATAAAAATTGTGAATATATCGCTACATTATACAGAAAATTATTTGGGATAAACAGTGAAATGGAAGTGCTCTGCTTTAAGTTCCTCAGTAAAAATATCGATAAAATCCTCATGCATGTCTATTTCTATTTCAATAACGCTTCTAGCTCAAATTATACAAATTTTGAGAGGGATTTTATTAAATTGTGCCCCAATCTACTTTGAATTGCAGTCTCAAGATCACTATAATGATCACCTCTGCGAATTGTAATCGATTGCATTACTTTAATGCATAGAATATTCATAAGTTTGCCTATAGGAACAATAAGACAATTGATAGTAATGTTATTATCATCCATTTTAACTCCTAAATGCAAGAATCCAATAGAGAAAATTGCTTGGCCCACTCGCATTAAAGAACATATATTATACATATCTTATTTTGTGTTATTTTTTACGGGAATGTTTTTTGCGGAAAGTTGGCGTAACTTTCATGTACTATTACAGCTTTATATCTTGTTGGGAAAAAGATAAGGAGATAAGAATAGGTATTAGCATTGTCATATGATGTCAAGAGCTCTTTGAAAGCACATGCCAATGAAATCCTCATACCTTTTCACATGTAGATCTACCCTGCAAGATATATAGTTAGTTTTACACCTGGCGATCTCGAAATTGTGAGTTTCTTAGCCTTTCATAATATATGCTTTTACTAGCACTATTTACTTATAGGAAAGGTCCTGTGTTACGCGTAGACCTTCTTTCACATTTTTCTTACATTTGTTTGAGGAAAAAGATAGAGATATTGGTTAGCGAATATAGCATAATGGACATTTAACTTTTGAGCGATTTTATTGGTTGAAATTTGTGATAATCATTTTTGAAATATTACATTTAGTTTAAATTTGATTGGTACAAATTGATTGTCATAAAATTTACCAAAAAAAATAGGCTAATTTTTTGGTTATTCAGCAATTAAAAAAAATTATTTAAAATTAAAATTTTCAGCTTTTTTTTTCAATATTTTTAATTTTTTTAAAAATTTTTTTAATTAAAATAATATTATTATAATAAATATTAGTAAAATGAATATTAATAATAGTCCTTGTAAAGTTAAAGATTGTGATAAAAATGATCCAAAAAAATATAAATTTAGAAAATTTACTCAATCTAGTAAAGCAAAAACTATAAAAACTAATGCATATCAAAATTATAGTTATCTTCAAATTGATAATCAGTTATGTTTTTCACATTATTTAACTATTGTAGAAGCAGATAGAAATAAGAATAAAAAAAGAAAATTAGAGGAATTTAATGAAATAAATATTAGAAATGATGATGATTATACAGAATGTGAATTATCTTATTTTTTAAATTTAA